CATATGAAACGAAAAAGTACGAAATTTGAATATAAGCAAAGTTTGCTTCCATTTGAGTTTTCCACGACAGTCTTCTGGGTTGTTGGGCCACGTAGTGAGTGCCTCGGTTGCATACAGAGGAACAAACCGCCTCCATCTTCAAGGCTGAAGTAATAAAATAAACCACAACGTCATTTTCCTATTTAGGGAATAGACAGTAGATAAAATTCGCCCAGTCTTTGGCTTTAGTTCAAGCACTGCTTAAACCAAAGCCCGCATCTGTTATAAAAATTGTCAACTTGATGCAGTGTTTAATAAGTATTCCACTGAGCTCTCAAAACAAACTAGAAAGTTGGATAAACTTCGTGACAGGTGAAACCAGCTTTCCTTCAATCAGAATATTTTAAAATAGACAAGTATATATTTTTGTAGTTCCACAACTATTTTTCAGTTCAATGCTACGGCTTACGTCCAGTCTCAGAGAAACTGGATTTGTGTGTCGGCCTTAATACGTCCAGAGTCGTTTCGCCTGAATCACGGCAATTAGCAACTCATCGCACCAACCAGGACTACTTCACTGCCAATAGCAACGGAACGCTTGTTCGGCAAGCTCTGTAAATCAATAAAATCTGTCGACGGAGCAGGGAGCAATAAGTCTGTAACCCAGTACGAAGTCCTGATTCGAGTCTTGGAAAAGTCCCAGGCTCTGATCGCTACCGACGGCATCGTAAGTCAGCGTCACGGTTAGAGAGAATGCGACGCTCGACGTCGCTTTTCTAATGTCGTGTTTTCTTTAATATTCGTTTTAATATTATCCTTGCGTCTATACCTATGTATCACAGATTTACCGACTAGAGTTTTCGTGCATTTATCTTCTATCATGTCTGCTACATGATTTTCCTAATGACAATTCCTGTTACTTCATCTCACATCCTGCTCTGAAAACACCAATCTATTTTGTTCCCACAAAGTGAGACATCATTTTTCATTGTGCCTTATGTAGAACACTGAAGGACAAAATATTATGATCTCAATGGTAGCAAATCTTCCCAAAATTAAAACTGTCTAATACTTTGAAGCCGAACAGAGAGAGAGAGAAAGAGGAAATTGGTGGGGGAGAAGTGAGAGACACTTCGATATCTGGGGGGGAGAAAGAGCATCTTATAGCTAGAAGGTCCCCAGGCAATGCCCGCTCGTCCTTCTGTTAAGGATAAAGTAAGAGTGAAGGCGTTAGTGTGATAATTGGCATAAAAGACGGCATTTTGAAATTTTGTATTAGAGAAAGCTGAGACTATTAATTTGGAAGTTTAATACATAATTTAGAAGTTTCTACTGAGGGGAGGGGGGGTAAATTTTGACGGCGTTAAGGGGTGGTAAATTTTGATTAATTTAAATCGGGAGGGCTGCATGCGATCAGGTACTTAACGCTGTTTAACGAAATAATCGCTGTTTGTACTGAGAATCATACGAAACGTATAAATACGTAATGAAGTTTTATTGATTACTGAAGCAGATGGGAAATGCAGTCACCACTGGGCTTTAAATGGTTCAGCCCCATGTGTTTTTTTCGGACTCTTAATAAACCCCAGTTTCCCTCACGAGCTCTGCAGCTACAGGAAACTTCTCAGCTCCTTCGAGAGTCGAGGACGACAATCTGTGGAACTTTTATCCACAGCCAACTGACAAACTTACAGCCTGTGGGTCAGAATTTTCGGTCCACTGCGTCGCTGGTTTCACACTTTTATAGTAAAAGAAGCAGATACACGACCATTGCAAATTCATCTGTCACAGGTTTCATAGCAAAACAGAAGGAGACATTTGCTCAGAATGCAAACTCTGCGCATTCTATGAAGGCAATCAATGTACCTACACTGAGTCTGTTCTATGTTGGAAAGGGTTGAAGTAATTAATGTTCATTTATTAACAACAACATGTGTAACGTTTCATCCTCACGAACATGCAGAGTTAGAGAAGCAGTCAGAACACAGTAACAGAAAATAATGCATCATGATATATATACAAATTTATTTATTTATTTATTAAGAGGTTGCCAGTTCATTTTTTTCGAACGTAAGAACGACCAATGGCAGTGACCTGGTTACAGCTGGCAACTAAGGTACAGACTGGTCCACCCAGCAACTAGGACGTTCACTTTTTGTAGCATTTAAAGAACCTGCTACAAAAAAAATGGGTCCCTAATATCAATTCCTTTCTGTCCATAGGACCAGACATTCCTAATTTCATTTCAAAGTTTGTCCCGTTAATATAACCACGTTTGCTGGCCAATCTCACCCAGTGCATTAATTAGTTTTTAATGGATAGGACAAGTTATATGGGGCCTATCCTATGTTATTTCGACGTCACAAACAGGTGCTGAATCCAGCTTTCTCGAAACAGGTTCTGGTGACCGGGTCTTGATGATATTGTAACTGTAACATCTGATATGGACGAAATGCCACTACCAAAATGTAGGTTAATAAGCTCTAGATTAGTTTTCATTTTTTCTATAGGAAATCCGATAACCCGAGAAAAAATCTTGAGTCCCATGTTTTAAGCAATGGGTTTTTGTCATAATAAATGAACAGAAATTCCAATGAACTACCCAGAAACATAAAGAACGCATTTGGTAGAATATGTTTAGTCAAAAAAACCTTCCTTGTTAATTTTGTGAATGGATTATTCCTTGGCTCGTTTACCAACGATTCGAAGGAAGACGAAAGCGCCATGTTCCTCCGAAACGCCGGTACGCTCATATAATCCGAAAGCCTACTCACTACGTATCGCTTTATTTAACGACGACTTTTGAAACTGCATTTCCTGTACAGTGTCGAGTGTAAAAATAATTTCGAATGATCAACAAGGACGATGAATGTTATCCCTTGAAACCCAGCTTATTCTGTTCTTATTAGAAGAATGAGCGGGCATTACCTGGGAACCTAGCCATTAAAACATGTTCTTCCACCCCACGCCCCTAAATAACATGTTTCTCACTTTTCCCCCAATATTTTCTCCTTGCTTCTACTCTTCTACAAACATTTATAACTCTCTCTCTCTCTCAAAGGAGTAAGGTACTATAGCAGCAATTGTCATGGACACAATCACTTGAAACCTTTCCCCTGGCAGAGAACATTGCCCAAGTACCTCGCCCTAATATCCAGCAGGGATGCCAGCCACTACAACAGAACAGAACAGAAACATGTTCCATGCATAGAAGGGGGCAAATAACAAAGTCCAGTTTTTCCAGTCATGTTAATACTTCTCCCCTGAGGGCCGACACTTGTCCTGCCCCTCTGGATAACGGGCTGGACTCGAGTTCGCCCCTACACCCCACATTCAAGGTCGTAAGTATTAACATTAAAATATTTAAGATCGTAAAACGGGCTACAATGGGAGAAACAGCAGGCCGCGTGTTGCAAACCACCACTACATCAAAGTACATAACGTGAAACAAGTAAACTGAAGTTGTCTCGGGTGCTACGCCATGAAATCGTTTCGTGAGTGGAGGTACACCTCCACGCATTTCTAACATCGGTAATATCTGGTCCTGCCTGGAATCAAACTTCGGCCATTCAGTCTCATAGCCCACTCATCCCCGGCTCGCCATAGTTGTGGCAAGCCACACTGACCTCTCCTTGTGTCATGGCAGTGTCAGACCCAGTCTCGCCAACAGCGCTTACGCTACGCATTACACCGCTAATTCGGGACGACAATTAATTCCTTCTAATGTCAGAACGTGAGAACCTGAACAGGCTGTATAAATGCGCTTCGGAAACCTTCGTACTTATGATCGTTCTGATGATAAATAAAACATTAGTTAATTACGTCTGGTAAAAATGGCGATCGATATCATAACAGTGAGAAAAAACAAGAGATATCACCACTTCTGTGTACATTACTTTCACACACTGAACAAAAATAAATAAAAAGACAGCTCATCTGCTTTCATTTTCTCCGTAACACACACTGAGTTTCATAACCTCGACGCTGAGATGGAGGCTATAGGTCGCGTCACCTTCCACCCTTCGCCCCCCCCCACCCCCAGGTGAAATGTGCCTGGCACACACTGAGGAAAATATTGGGTGAGCCATAGAGACCGGTCCAGTGCGCGTACTGGTCAAGAGTAAATTTCCGTCCCTGCTAAGAATCGAACTTCGATTGTCCACTACATAGGTCTAGTCACTATAATGAACTGAACTATCGCGATTACTTAACATTATTAAAGTGAATAAATCACGAGGTCTGGAAGACGAAATGTTAGCATAGGGGAGGGGGAGAAAATACTACTTACATCATGTTGACTTCATTTGAACTGAAGACAGAAATTTATTAACGGAATAAAACAAAACATTCTAATAGATTCTTTGAAATGCTACGCACAGTGTGCTGTAATATGTGATGTTTTCTAAATATCCCTGTGGAATCAGTAACCATGCAAGTAACTCCCTTGGATAATGGCAACCATAGATTTATTCCCACAAAAACAAAATGACCATTAACTGGACTCCATACTTCACTCCTACTCCATAGAAGAATTTACCTCAACCAAAAATTCTCAACTATTATAAATATCTGTAAGGAATAGCAGCTGCCTTTACTAATCTTCCCTTGCAAGATATATAACAGTAAGATTCCACGACAATAAATCCAAAATGGGTGACAGGTTGGAGGGATTATGTACGTTAAAGTAAGAGGTGTAGTTACTATAAATCAATTTCAAATTCAATGTCAGACACACGGGGTTACCTTACAAAATTCAAAATTTCCTTTTGTGTTTTAATACTTAACTCACTAAACAGTAAGACAGCCGATAAAATATATGAACGTAAAAGTAAGAAGGCTATTACGACTTGACTGCACCCTCTTACTTAGGTTAGAAATACTTTTATGTTTTATGCCGAAAAATATGAACACAGATTTAACCGTTACCAAAATAAGTCACAAGCGTCAATGTTATGAGTTAAGTATTTCACACGAACTAACTTGTATTACAAATGACCTAAAACGTTTATTGCTGTACTCACTTTTATTTTGTCATACGTTGTTGACAATTCCAAACGATGGACGAAAGGATTTAACAAATCCGGAGGAACTAGCAATTCCTCTGTGCTATGTACCTTTCCGTTCATGATGACAGCGAAATAACAGTTCGTCCTTCACGGATTAAAAATTATAATAGCTGATTTAACATAATTTCATTCAGAACTCACAGAACGAACTCCCTCACACTACAAACTGACTTCTGACTCCGCGCGCCACACTAACACCAATACCTATTCATGCTCTCCCACGATAAAAACAAACGATATTGATTCTTCAAATGTGCTGTAGATGTTGCTAGTGCATAGGACGTGAAGAAACCAACCGACAGGTTACTCAACATGACAAATATAAAATAAAGCCCTAAAAGCCGATGGATGTTCCATCTGACGACGAGTTTGGGACATACATGTGGTGGAGAGAAATGCGATACTTTCATGCGCCCTAGATGAGTCCTCATGACGAAATAAAGTCGATATTGATTCCTGAAATTCCCTGTAGATGTTGCTATTGCATAGGCAGCTCCTAACCAGCTGACAGGTTCCCCAACATGACAAATTCAATTCAACAGTTTCAGAAAACATTAATGTCAAACTATACTACTTCTGACAAACCTAATATCATCGGAAACATTATAAATAAGAAAATAATTGAATATGACATGAAATAGTATACTATTATTGCAGATAATTAAAACCTTAAATGATGTTGGTCAAACGCTTTAGACGGCGACGGATGTTCTATCTGACGGAGTCTGGGACATATATGTGGTGGAGAGAAATGCAATACTTTCATGCGACCTGTCATGAGCTTGTATGACGTAATACGGTCGATATTGATTTTTAAAATTCTCTGTTGATTTTACTAAACCAACGGTGACAGGTTTCTCAACGTGAGAAATTCAACTGAGCAGTTTCAGAAAGCATTAAAGTTTACGTAAACTATTTCTCACCAACCACTTATCCTCAGAATCTTTTTAATAATAGAATTTAAAGCACAATTAAAGATGATGTTACTGTTTAAGAAATTGTTATTCGAATTATTGAATGTTCATTTAACGAAGAGGCTAGGACATACATATCAGTGAAATATTGGCATTATAAACGCATTTGATACCTCGCAGATTCGAAATGTAGGCCTTTATTAAAGGATCACTTCTTTTTGTCAGAACGTATATTATAAGACTGGAAAGGTGTAATCCGTTACGGAATACAAAGTTTCCACATGCGTTCTTTGGAAATGCTGAATTCTGATTGCTCCACGCTAATTTGAGAATAATACCATGTCATACATACACTATCAAACAAACTTTTCTGTATCGTCCTCGTAGGAGTTGCAATAGACCACAGGCTATGTTTAAAGAAGCATATGCCTTCAACATAACATATATGAATTAACTTTTAACTACTTATCTTATTATTTACAAAAGAGTTAGAATATGATTCAATTGTTAACTTCGAATTTTCATCAGTAATAAGAATGAATCAGTCAGATCTGGTGCGAAAATTAAATTTATTAAGCATGGAGAGGGGCCATCAGTTTGAAATGTCCGTTAAATGTAGTTCAGTCTTGTTTTAATTTCCGTTTGGCGGCACCTAACTTTCACCCGCCATTAAAAAAGGACGTGACGTTGTCAGTGAGTATGGAAGTGAAAATATTTTTTAATGTTGGCTACTTTACTGAAAAGTCATATAAAATTGAAATTGAAAGTGTATTAAAAGTTTGATTGCTGTTGATTTTGAACTCTTTTTGTCATGACTGTTTAAGGATGGAACAGTTGATGAAATCGTTACATATTTTTTTTACATATCTGAATGAACTTAACCTCAAATGGCATAACAATATCGAGAAAGCTGCAAAACCCCTTAATGCTTTTAGAAATCAAGCAGAACAGCTGAGACTTGTGAAAAAGTAAGTGTTTTTTCAGTAACTAAGTATAACCTAATTTTTTAAGGTGTTGAGTCGGATCCTTTGCAAATGCTTCAAGAGGGAGTTTACTTTTCCTTATTTTTGGATTAGTTATAAGTTCCATGAAAAGGATTTTTCTATATGGAGGTTATTAATTTTTCTTATATGATAATATTGCTGCCTTGAGCATTATATAGTTTATAATTGCAGTAGGCCATCATGGCACCAAATTGGTTTATAGTTTGAATCTGAATAAAATGTGTGAAAAGTTTACATGTGTTATACACTGAGCTGTGGAAAAATTACTTCTCTAAAGGGTATATACATTCCATGGGTCCTAGTTAATTAAGATGTGAAAGAAGACAGTGTACAAGTAAACACAATAATCAAGCCATAGAAAATTCATGGGACACATGATACTCTAATTGTTGCATAAATGAGAAATCTCATGCAATTTTCCCACAACAAGCTTTACAGTTGTATGTAAGCTGGCTTCATGAACGTCTGAATATGACTGAAAAATGTCAGTGGTGTCATTACTCACAGGCAAGTGTTTTTATGCAAAATGTTGTTATAAAAAAATAGATTGCTTCACAACCCAGGTTCTGACCATCAGTCATAATTCTCATTATTTTGTTTGGTTAAATGAATACTTTATTATTGTATTCATAGATTATTACTCACAAGATGATGAGAAACTGTGGAGGGAGTAACATGGCTGTTATTTAATAGCCAGTAACTTTTTTTCAGGTTTGAAGACAATGACGATAATGCAGAACTTCCAAACCTGAAAAGTAGGCTAATATCAAAGATTAAGTTGGGTGTGGAAGAGGAATTATCATTACTGAAAGAGATATTGTAAGTATTTCTAACTTTACATTTATTGGGAACATGATAAATATGCACATTGGCCAATTGATATATTAATTATGATCTTATGGTTTTTGATGTTAAGTCTTGTATGTTGTAACAAACATTTTGGAGTCAAATATCATTTCCATCTTCAGAGTTGAAGTTAGATTAAAAGAATACTGCCCTTTGTCAGATGCCTTCCATTTCATATCTGAATATGGTAACAGAACCTTTGTCAGAGAGTACTTACCAGTTTGAGAAAGCGAAACCAGGTGAGACCTTCCGTGTTGCCCACAGGGCACCCATTCTTAGTTCACATGTGCTGCACTCTGCGTGTACTGCGTTGGCCATGGCTCTGAGAAATCCATTTCCATGGTGACAAGGCCAGAGTACGGTCCTAGCACAGCCCCCTCATGTGTGAATCAAATTTAGTGTCACAACTTAATTCAAACTGAAAGTTATTAGCGGCTCAACATCTGTCAGCTGGGAGAAAGGGACTCTCCCATTTGCTACTAACCTGTACAGCGGAAAACCATGATTAAATAACCTACCAATCAAATTAAATTTCAGAAAAGAGTTTGAGATAAGCAACAAGGATCTGAAGAAGAAGTTGGTGTTTGTGGAACAGAGGTGTGAGGCTGTGGAGACTGAGGCAATGTTGCGAGGCACCGCAACTCAACCTGCCCCCTACCTCATGGTCGAGTGGGCAGAAGATGCCTGGAGACTGTACCACGCATTGTATCCTTTACAACCTGACCACTGTCTGAAAGCATACTTGGAATCAGAAAGAATTTTGTCAGTATTATGTGCTTGTGATAATATGTTCATTTCATTTATTTTCTTCAGTATTCTTTGGTTTGTTTGCTTCTGTAACTTTGGTACACTCTTTAGTAGTCTAGATCCACACAAAGTTTGATCTCTAGACCTGTTTTTTTGCATATTCTTCTTCTTCTATGGCTCTCTAGTCCGTATTTGGTCCATGGCCTCCTCAATTCTCCTCTTCCATTCGGTCCTATCCTCCGCTGCCTCCTATCGTGCTAAAATTGGCAATTTTCAGTGTGATATTTAACGAGCCTTTGTAATGTGGTCAGATGATTGGCTGCTGGTTGGATGAGCACGGTCTGATTCCTCGAAGGGGCAGGAGTTCTCTACGCCAGATCCAAAAGGGCTCTGAAGGCCGCGTATCCTCCTACTGCTGGTACCAGTATTTGTTGCCACGGGGCTAATGTGGCTGGAGTATGGAAGTGATCGTCTGCGTGCAATGCTGAATGAACGCTGGAGGTGGATGACTGATGCATTTTTAGCGTAATTTTCTTACTGCATGTCTTCTCATAAAGCGATAAAACAGGGTCAAATATACTGATGCTAGACATGGTAAAGTTGGTAACATTGAAGGATGCAGACAAAAAAGTTGTAATGGTGTTGAAACTGTTGTAGAAGGAAAAAGATGAGAGCAGGCAAAGTTCCAGAAATTTTTTTTTACTCTTCATTATGTTATTTTATGATTATGTAAAATGTAATGACTTTATGTAGCGTTGGATGAAACGTCGGAGAATGATTGCAATGAAAAAAAATGGATTGAATGTGGGAGAAGGCGGTTGTGCGTTTTAGTGAACCATCACAGGTGAAAATTGTTTGTGTGCTTAAGGAATATTTGGAGTAGTTCAGTGCAAAGAATGAAGTATTGTCTAATTCTTAGCGTAACTGTCAGTTATTAATGGCCGTACTATTCCTTAACTTCATTTTGAGTTATATTCAAATATATGGTGCATTAAGGTGCCTGAACTGTGAAGACGAGGATTCTGTCGTAAGATTTCAGACAGCCTTCCAAGAAGATGCCAAAATGAAATGTCACATTGAGCGTAAGTACTTGGACATTCACTGTTACTTACTTTCTTATGATCATAGAAAGAGTTTGTGAAATTTTAGTATATATATATTTGCATTATCATTATTCATGTGTCGTATCCTCTTTATTTTATCATTTGGAAGACATAAGTTAGATGGAAGGAAATGAGAAGGTAAATGTGACAGAAAACTTTGTTAGCATGTGGACTGGATTAATCTGGCTCAGGATACAATTCATTGGTGATGGTGGTTGTAAAAACAGAAGCGTCTCTTTTGGTTCCGTCTGATACGATGAATTATTTGACAAGCTGAGTGACTGCTAGTTCCTGAAGAAGAACATTATTCCTTGTAGTTACTTGGTATTATTATTGCATATTGTGTCTCTAGGATGTATGCTGAGCCACCTTAATCCAGACTAAACTCTCTGATCCTGTTAATTCAAGATCACATTTAATATTCCACCAGTCTATTCCCAGATTTCCAAAATTGTGTATTCTGTTCAGCTTTTCCAACGTAACTGTATACATTTCTTATCTCTCCCGTGCATGCTACATACCCCATCCGTCTCTTGCTCGTTGATTTAATCATGCATCATCATTGATGACGCGTTAGAAAGCTAGAACTTGGAGTCAGCAAATGTTTCTATAATGTGTATTGGAATAGGTTTACACCTGCGCAGATGGGTACTTATGTTTGAGGGTTGAGTCAACTTGCTGCTGAGACAGACTGTACTTCACCTCGCTTAGATCCAAATGTTCTTAACGCTGTTTTCAAAACCTTTTATCTGTGTCGTTGATATCCACTCAAAAAGCTCATGTTACAGTGTTGTGTATTTAGTTTTTTTAAATGGAAGCTGGCAAGATAAGAGATTGTATCAAGTCTAATAATTTGGTCTTTGTTATTGATATTGCAAAGTATACCATCTAAAGAAGTTAATGAGATTTCTTATTATTTAGACTGCAAACCATTTTCCGCCATTCTCACTTTTCTTTTTTTGACATGTGTCTGTGTGCTTCTCCCCCAGTGTCAGGGTGATTGAGTCTAGAAGAATGAGATGGGCGGGGCATGTAGCGCGCATGGATGGGACAACAGGTGTACACCGGGTATTGGTTGGGAAGCCTGAGGGAAAGTGACCGCTGGGGAGACCTAGACGTAGATGGGAGGATATCATCAGGCGGGATCTATGGGAGATAGGAGTTGAAGGCGATTGGATTTTGTTGGCCCGGGACAGGGTCTGGTGGAGGGCTTTGGTTAATTCGGTGATGAACCTTCGGGTTCCGTAAGCCATATACTTAGTTAACATATTTCAGTGTTTAAAACTTCAATAAATACATTGAAATTCCTTTGTTGGTTCTTTTCTGGGATTGTAATTCTACTCGTGTACTCGCAGAATATTTTTCGAAATGAACATAAAATGAAGGAAGTAGACCATCCGATTGGTGGCCAGTGTCGTTTTGGTTCATTGTGAGATGCGATAATGAAATACTTCGATTGTTACGTTGATATAAGCTTGTTCGTGTTCTTTGTTCGAAGAACGCCTGCAATAGTTAAGCAGACAGACCCGCTCCACAGTCGTGTCGGAGAAGTTGCAGCATGATCGCGGCGCTCCATACTTCAGCAGAAGCCCACTCACTCTCTTTTAGTTTCTGTGTTTTGTTTACGCTGCGACAACGTAAATGGTGGTTCTGATGTATTGGTTAAATTTTTTTAATGTAATATTTTATGGCGTGACAAAATCGGGCACATTTTTGACACGGAAACTTCCAGAATTTTGCAGTTGAACGAGTAGCTGTTATGAATGGTCTGGGCTTGACAGCT